AAAAAATATTAATAACTAATAGTAAACTAAATATGACTGAACTAATAGTGATTTAAAAATTCAGTAGCCCTTTTGCCAATAAACCTCTAAATTAGGTCTTTTGTTATGTATTTAAATTAATCTTAACACAAACAACGTTTCAAATTTTAAAGTCAGAAACGCTTCCGAATTAATCTTCAAAACCAACAACACCCTTTATATTGTCGAATGTTCTTGAACAAAACTTGGTTTCGTTGTTCGACAAACACGAGAATTAATTCTGGTTCATTATATTAATTCAACATAAGCTAATACAGAATCTGCTTACGAAACGTTCCTTATTTGCCGGAATTTGATAACGTCGTGATTGCCTTTATGTTTGTGTCGTCATTTGTAAATATTTATTAGTATTTTGTGTAGACGCGCTTTAATAAATAAAAATAATAGTTAATTAATCTTTGTTACACAGTTTGGTTTAATATTTTATTTCAGCTTTACTACTGCTATTTTACAATAACTAACCACTACAAAACAAATGAATTAATTTATACTATATTAAATAAACTATGTACTAAAACTAAACCAAACTAAAAATAATACTAAATTAGTTAATTAATTAGCAAAAAAATTGACAATGTTTATTTGTAACTAGCTATGCCCGCGACTACGTTTTTGTTTGTCTTATTTTTCTAAAATAAAAGTATTTTTCTTAAACAAACGTTGCCAAAGTTACTCCTGCTTACATTAACTATCTGCCAATAAAAGCCCCGTCAAAATCGGTACAACCATTTCGAAGATTATCCGGAACAAACAGACAGACACAAATTGTGAAAAATGTTATTTTGGTGTATGTACCATATATATATTCTTATACATGTAGTAAAAAAAGGTTATTTCAGTATGGCAAACAGACACTCCAATGACATTTATATGTATAGATAACAATATTATTACTTACTAAAATAAGCCGATCGCCACAACGGATCATTCTGGAGATCTTTGGGTTAGGCCTATGCCCAGCAGTGGACGTATCGTGGCTGAACAAGAAACAAAACGCAAATTGCAGTGCTTCTAAATAATTCTCATTTAAAATCTAACTACTTTTATAATGAATACGTGAATCTACCGATAAATAATATAAATAGAGAAAAGAAGAAAGGAAATCGAAACGATAAATTGTAAAACTGCCAGATATTTCTTTACTTTTACTTTATAAGTGGTCATTTATATTTCTCTGAAACCCCTTTTATAGTGATAACAAAACAAAAAAAATGTAATGGCTGAAATACATTTTCCACAGGAATTTCATTATTCTCTGACTGCTTATTGATATGGAAGGCGGTTCTGTGGCACGCTTTATTAAGACATCGTAAAATGTGAGGCACATTCTTGAACGCGACAATATGTAGGCCATTCCAGTGGCTCCAGTACAGAGAAATGGCTTCCGAATTTACACGGAATGCTTTAAATGAGAAATATTAATTATAATAAATATGTAGTTGTTATTTCATTCAATTTCATGGGAAATACAGACATAATTTTGTTGTACCAATATTTTGTTGTAATAAAAAATTTATACATTGGGATGGAATAATTTTCCAGAAAATAATAGCTTAAAAAACACAATTAGGTCCTCTTTCTATTGTATAAAAAACAACGCGTTTTAATGCGAAACCAACGCCATCTAGTTATGTAGTCAGCTAAAAACTTTGTTTTTCCAGAATTATTTAAATACCTTAAAACGGTTTAAAGCAATAAAAAGATAACCCATCTATAGATACAAAAGAATGTCGTGTTATTTACACAAAATTACTTAAGAACGGTACAACCGATTTGGCTGAAAAATGATAGAGAGGTAGCTTAGAACCAAAAGACGGACATAGGATACTTTTATACAGTTTCCTTTTTTAATTTACGCGGACGGAATCGCGAACAATACCAAGTTTTTAAATATAATACAGAATGAACCTGCGCATAAATACCAATATTATGTAAATCCAGTACAACAGCAAATAAAGATTATTATAATTTGAGCTTTAATTCAAAAGCTTTAAGCCATTAACAGGATGAAAGCTACGCACGTGGCACGCCAACACTTATCCGGTGGAAGCGCACTTAGCACGGATACGTTTGCATTTGAAGCAATATCGGATATTGCGAACCGTTTCAAACGGTACAACGCAGCCCCAGTAGAATATCGTATTTGCGTATTTCGAAATTACTTGTGAAATCTTTGTGTACCTAACAACGTCCATAAATAAAATAAACTACGATAAAGTTCTATGTATCTATTATTATATAATAGTTTAGTAGACAAAACCGTACAACGAATTTCCGTAAATACAGATTTGCATACGTCTTGTATGTAATAAGGTCCTGGTCAGGCCACAATCTAGTGGTTTCGGAATACATAATTCAAACCGTCACTTTCGTAATTTTAAACACCATGTACCATCCTTATTATATTTCTCATTCTATTTAAAAATACGTTTTGTGCTGTGGTAACTCATGTGTGTGGTAAGATGCTTTTTATGGGAGTTACTATGACACGGTTAATTAAAAAGAGCAATGTTATAATTGTGAAAATGTCGCTAGAGTAGTATCTACTTCGGTATTCTCCCCTCGCCTGTTGACCGTAATACCTTCAAGCAGCGTTTACATTGCGAAGTAGGCCGGCCTGTGTTTCAAGTGCTGCAAATATTTCCGTGCTTTTTTCATACGGTTTTTCTGTCTTTTATTTTAATTCTATATAACTCTGCAAGTAACCTCACTTCACTTGTGGTACCCAAAAGAACGACGCCGATGATGTACAATTTCTTTTTTTATTCCAAAGGGAATTCTTTTCAACCAGTGGCTATTTTTTTATGAAATACAGACAAATATTTTTGAGTTATCTATGTGGATCTATAGGAATATTAAATTTTCGTAGTCGTTTTTGTATCTACATTTAACATTTTTTCTTATTAATTTTTCGATTAGTAGCAGCCTATCTAATCAGATGTAAAAATTATTTATAATACATTAGACAAATTATTTATTAAGGAAACCAAAAGCTATTCAACATAATTTTTTAAAGGTTTTAAACGAAAATGTTACAACATAATGCCTTTGTTTTCGAAACGAACGGTATAATTTCAACAATCGTTGTGTTCATATTCCCTTGTGACTAAAAGCGCTGCAAGCGATTGTTTTTCATTTTAAATCCCTAAATAACACTACTGAAAATAGATAACCAATTTTTAATCTGTCAAAACCTACAAACTAAATATTTTTTTTTAAATTATAATAATTGTAAAAGTTTTTATTCCAATTTATGATTTTATATTTCGGTTTTGCTATAAACGGACCGCAGTTGCGATGACTGTTAAAAATGTTACCAGTGTGAAGTACGTTAATGGCAGCCTTAATAAAATATTTTAATTATACAAGTTGACAATTCAACATTAAAACATTGTGTAAGGCATGGCAGTAAAGGCCAGATTTGTTTTAGTTAATTGTATTAGATCTCAGCAAGTTGGCATCGCACCAATTGTAAGAAGACTGGCCAGAGACAACTTTCAATATACAGATTAAAAAAATATTATTATTACCCAACTTCGAACGTTCCTTCCATCTTTCATGACCATTTTCAATACTTTTTTGTAAATTTTAATGACCGACATCTCAATTTATTTATTTATTACTATTATAGAACATACAATAAAGTTAAGTCTTCATCAAATGTTAATCGGATTAGTCATGTTACGAGCTACCGTCCTAACGTATTCACCGCTATTAGTTGAAGTCAAATTGTTCTACTGTTTTGAATTAAGTGTTCCCTTGTTGTTTCAAGTTTCGATTACTGGAAGACAAAAATAAAGTTCAACAATATACCGATTATAATCTGACAAACTTCACAAACGGTCGTTGGCACAGAGTAATTCTTATATACGTCAACTGAACACAGACTTTACGTAAGCTAGCACATATATTTGCTCTGCTAGCCTTAATTGAACAAACTTTGATATTCAAATATCTCCAATTACACCTGGTGTCGGTTTCAATCTACGTTAATTTAGGCCAGGAAATTGTCAGCGGAACTAATTACGTTCATCTAATAACCTTGTCGATTTACTTAATTATATGAAATCTAAGCTTGTAATCTTGAAATTAAAATACTCATCTCTTTCAAATAGAATTGTTTTAAGACCAATCATCACTTTTAAAAAACAAATCATGGTTTGTGGTCACGACGAAATTGATCAATAAGAAATTTTTAAGAGCAGTGACACCACGCGGCAAAAAATCAATCTCTCGTTCACAATATGTTATTATTAACAACAAATTGAATTGAATATAATAAAAAGATTTTGAGTAGGCAAATAGTTTTTTTTTCAAAACCTTATAGATTTCTTTTACTTATACGTAAAAGGATTGTAAATTTCCGCCAAGAACATCGTTAGTTTTAATGATACACAACAGCACTTTTACCTTCACATTTGCGAAGTATATAAGAGTACTTACGGAGCCTCGCACGAAACATTGTTTGCTTTTTCATACAAGTAGTGGCGAAACAAAAACTACTTTTAGGGTCTCGGGTTCCAAATCTTTGAAGACTTACTCCTTTCTCATAACTTTCATCTTTTGTATTAAGCCCATATATTTTACATTTTTCGCCTACTAAAATACCTTGAATGGCTAGAACTTTAACATTAAATTTACATTAAAGTATTATTTGGTGTAGGTTTATTTAAGTACCATAGAAAGGAAAATTAAAATCTACCTTTTATAATAATATTAACAACATTTGAAGAACAAGACGAAGTATGAGGAAACGTTTATTTCTCCATCAAAGTTCCCAAACAAATTTTTCCGCCTATGAAATATTAAGTCGTCATTTCATTAAAATTTGTAAGTGCTTCCTTTGTGTACAAATTTAATTAAACTTAAAATAATAGACCGAATAAAAAATACTTTTTTATTACTCTATGGTTTGTAGCCGATGTTGGCAATTTTTATCGACAGTCGATCAGTTTGTCATTTAGACGTTAATTTAAATCTTGTCAATCGTTATTTCAGTATAACAAATCTAAACAGCTGTTTTGTTGATTACTTGTTTAGTTCAATAACATTTTGCTGTCTAAAGATAAAACTTAATGATTTCATGCTATCATGGACACTGATGATTACAACGAAATCACATCACAGTTAGACGCAAGAGAAATATTGCGCTACCTAAATCATTTAGGAATACACAACATAAGTGGAGAAGTTTTAAAATACTTCATAACAGGTATTGTACTATAAATTACGACTAGTTTATTAAGTTTTCTGAGGTTTTAATTAATAAGTAACAATCGTTTCAGATTTAAAGAAATTAATTAAATACGACTTGCAACATAAACATGAAAGCGAAAACACAAAAAGTCCATTGAACCTAGGAACTGAAAGATTACACAGCGCTAGTACATTTTCGTCCAGAGCCAGATCAAGAGCCACGACCAGTGATATAATAATATGTTGTTCTAAACAAAGTCAGAAACCCAAAAAACTTTTAGATCTTCGCAATGTACACTCAGCACCTAATTTATTTCAAGCAAAAGAGGAGGTCACACTGTCAAAAAAAGCATGTTCATGCGAGAGAGAAGTGAAGAAATCTGACATTTTATCTAAAGACTCAAAAACTACACCATCAATCAATAGTAATTGTAAGTTTTCCCATTCAAATATCTTTTGACAGTAAAAAATTTTCTTTTAAATAATAATTTATTTACACACAAAAATCTATTTTTCAGTTATCAGAAAACCAAAAGAGCCTGTGAAGAGAAAACATGACCCAGTTTCTTTATATCACTATTATTCATCATTATGGGAAAAATATAAACCAAATGTACCTGGAGAAAACAATTGGTCAGAACTGAGGTGGAGCATACGACAGAAAATGGCAGGAAGTGCTGCTTCCCAATCTAGCAAAGTAAGATATAACACTGTCAATTAAAAAATTACACTTGACTCATCAAAATTGGTACATACATTGAGCCTCTAGGCTGTCACAAATAACTTGATGGAAATTCACGCTTGAAACATTACCTCTAATAATTGGGACTAAATTGGCTTTTTTAGATTAATTTTTCACAATAAATAAGTATCAATAGTGTTCCTTATTGCTGAAAAATCATAGATGTGTTATATAAGTTTAGCTTTTTTAACCTTTAAATAGACTAGATACATTAACATCTGTGGCTATGACTAGTTAAGCAAGTTCACTTTCATACAAAAGTTGTTGTCAAATATTTTGAATTATGTTCAGTGACAAATTCCTCTCCGTGTTCACTTTAATATGTAAACTTGTTTGTACTTATCATGTTATATTTCACTAATATATAATGTTCCATTTCAGAATTCTGTCCACACAAGGCCGCTTATTCAGAGTAAAAAATTGAAGTGACGATCCTGCTTATTGGTGACATTCATACATTCCCTTCCAAATGAATTTATTAGTAGTTGTGTATGTAATTAAACTAATTAAAGATGGCAGCTATAAACTATAATATTGTTATATATTTTGTAGAAATCTTGTGATTTTTCAAAAACTGTGAGATAAAACGAATTTAAACAAAAAGGGACTGACATAATGATATATATAATCTACAAATTTTTGTGGAAAATCCACATGTATAAATTTGGGTCTGATTTGGAATAGCATATAGTTGTAAATATTACAATAATTTGCTTTTAATTATTGTTAAGTGACAAAATGCCTTGTATTAAATTAAATTATAATCTATTTTGTTTTCTTTTTTTTTAAAAGGTATATATAGGCATTTATCCTATAAATAATACTTGACTTACAAACAATCCTCAGGTGTTACATAAATTATTTTCTTTACCCCAAGATAAATAGTAGCAAAGTACTGATCATTGTGGCAATCTTTGAGGGAGGCCTACGCCAAGCAGTGGGTGTTGTATGACTGAAGAAGCAGATAAATAAACAGTAAATTAAAATTTCTTGGTTCAATATTTGTAAAAAGAAATAAAGCAATTTATCAATGTACTATTTTAATTAAAACTTAATATCAATAAACTACATACAGTTTTATGTTTTAAATAAGTTAAACTTGACTTAATTTGAATTCTCTCTGTTGTTCAGTTGTGATAGCATTTAGATGATGCAAGATTCTTTCTTCTATTCTCTCTGCGGCAGCTAGAGTCAGTACTAATGTGTCATGTTTTAACATTGAGTACACATTCAGTCCATAAACGGGCATTATGTTGACATGTGGAAGTGAATCTGTTGCCACTGTTATGTTTCTTGGAGCTATGTCAGTACTGAAATTCAAGAAAATTAAAATATAAAAATGTACATTGTTGTAACTAATAGTGTTAATTTTTGAAATAAGGTACTAGAAATATAGTTTTAGGTTCTGGTATTGTGTTCATTGAAATACTTACTCATCAATGATCAGTACAGAAGGTCCCCAATTTCTATTTTCAATCAAATCTGCCAGATAATTTGATTCATCAGTTGGTAGTTCTAAATTATTAACAACATGCAGATCATCTTGTGCAAGCTTCGCTGATAACATTGATGTCAAACCATGGATTCTCAAGTGGAATGGCAACATAAAGAAGTGTGTTTTACCAGATCGTGGCCCGTGGGCTACTCCGCCACCGCGCCACAGCGGTGAACGTATAGATCCATGGCGGGCACGACCTAAACCTTTCTGTGGCCAAGGCTTCCTTCCACCACCTCGCACTTCAGCTCTTGTTTTCGTATGCGCCCACGACACCCATCTATATTTCGTTTGCCATACAAAGTTACGGTGTATAATATCTATTCGAGGCATTGCTGCGTACACTGAAGGATGCAACTCGAATAAGCCTAATTTCTTTTCTTCGACAGTATCTAAGTTCTCAATCCATACCTCACGAGGTTTTGTGTACAAAGGAGGATACTTCCATTCTTTTTGGGTTACATTTAAAGAGTTAGCAGTCGTAACAGCAGTCGAATAACTTGAAGAAATAACCTTAACCTGCGGCCTTATGGACAAATTGAGCCTCTTAAAGGCATTAATTAATACAGAAGTCATGATGGTTACTGCATGAACCAAACTTATAATTTGTTTATTAAAACAAACAACAAATTTTCAAATCTGAAACTTTATATGATCAATAGACATTAAATTAAACATAACCTACAATAACTTTAGACAGATGACAGGACTGTCACAGCATTTTTTTTATTTTAAGGCAAAGAAATTGTATCTATCGGCCGCAATTTTGTAAGGAAAAAAGCAGAAAAATTTAACTTTAAAACAAAACATTTCAAATTTAATTGATTCGGTTAAACCAATTTTATGAATACTTTATGACCAAAACATGATACGATCAAAAAACGCACAATCGTCCCACAACCGACAGAGGGCAGTTTTATATGACTTTAATATTGGCGGCGTTGCAGACGATTGTAATAAAAGAATTAATTCCTTTCCTCTTCAACATTCATTAGAAAAACAATTCACATCACCAGATCCTTAGGACGTGACTTTCCTTTTGTAAACTGCTACTAAGCTGTTTTTGTGTTTAAAAGTCGCATTTCCATAAGGTCATTCTTTCGAGAACATTCAGACACGATAGCTCTCATTTATTTGATGTCTTGTGTCTCGTGTTTACTTATACATATTTATATATATATTTATTTATGTAAACAAAGCTATCTTATACCTTACTTACTCTTGAACCATAAATAAAAATAGGATTGATCGTTTTTATTCTGATTCGATTCCATGATTTAGTCGTAGCATTTACCGTTGAAACGGATACTTCGATAAAGATCAAAACCTAGATACATACCGCAAACTAAAAATCCCTCGATCTACTACATGGAATGTTCAATTTTAAGAGGCTTATATAACCGCATATTGCTTTACATACATTCTACTAAAATGCACGTCAATTCCGGAAACTCAGAAACTCGGGATGATGTTGTGATGCCTTTTACTCATAAAATACACTAAGATAAACAATAACCAAAAACGCATCGAGTTTGATTATTAGGTTTGGTCGCTAAATAATAAGAGAGATTTACACTTTATCTACTTTATCAGTTGATAAACAAATAAGACTATTATGTTATTTACACAAGTTGATAATTCGAAATTACTTCCAATTCACAATACATACAAGCGGTCCCTTCATTTTAACGTTAGTTGCTAAAGGTGAATCATGTCGACCGCGTACAAAAATAACCCGGCTGTGGCGAATTTCGTAGAATATTTAAGAATACCATCGGTACAACCGAACATCGATTACGGTAAGAGTATTTTAAAAATGCAGTAGTCCAAACGCTCACCTTGCATAGGTCGTCGACCCTAGAGCCGTGAAACATAAATAATAAACATTAATTTACCTCATTGTTTATGAGGTTAGATTTGCATTTTATTAGTAAGAAATATTGAATGTTTTATGGTTTTATCAATATAGTTTTCGATTACAAATATTTCATTAATACTCGAATCGTTTACAAACTAGTAATTATGTTGTCAACACAGCTTATAAAACAATAAAAATACCAACTAATTTAAATGGAAAGTCTTAACAATAGTTTACTTCTTAATAATACCTAATTAACATTTTTTATAATTTTTGTTCTCTCCAATATAATCTTAAATATTACATTTTAATTAGGTATTAAAAACATAAAGTATTTAATAAATACATTACGAGATAAACTGAAACTCAACATTCGATGTACCTTTCTTTTCGTCAAGGGCATTGGCCCAGTTATCTTGAAACGTTGCGATGCAAATTACGCCATCTACCTATGTCAACAGTCCTGAATGGTTTGATAAATATTATTTTAATATTTAAGTTGTTTAAATTTTTAAAATAATATAGTGATATCTATATTTCCTACAAACACGGCGTTAATTACATCAGCCAGCCAGTAGCCATTTAAATATGAGAATAAATAACTTGTTAATTACCTTAAAAAAAATATAAATAAATTAAGTACGCTCATTAAATGTAATTTCTGATAATATATTTCCTCTTTACATATGGTATTGATAAGTGTAAATAATATACTAACGCAGTAAAGTAAATTACATAGGATTGTTTACACATTAGTAGCACACTAGAGTTATAATCTCCACGTTTAACATAACACAATAGAATCAGTGGCTACGAGTTTAGAAACGATTAGAGTTCGATTACTAGATTTACATCTTACTTTTACATTATTAATATTGACATTTTATCTGCATACATAAAATTTGGGAAAACTGAAGAACTACATTTTCTTGTGTGTGTTTGTACTACTCTTTTTGCCAGTGGAAACTCACAATAATAATAACACACACAGATAGCAAGAAAGCATGTGAATTAAGATAACTAATTTTCTTAACGTTATCGCAGCTATTTCGATATAACATATTATATTTATTTTATCAGTTGGCATTATATTATGTAAGCAAAAAGTTTTAATTACGATAAGTTTGAGATGTTTCTGCTTATTTTTTCTTCTTACAGCTCTAACCTAAATAACGAAACATTCCATAAGTGCATAACTTTATCACTTTTTTCGAACTTATGTAATATTATTTCAATGTACAGATCAAAACTCATGTTTTCTCTTCAATTTTGTCTTTAAATATTTAAGGGAATCTTTGTCAAAGCTTGGTATTGTTATGGCCGTAGTCCTTGATGGAATTAGCCGTTACATTTCCGACGCAACGTTATAGGCATCTGCCTAAGAATAGACAAAGGAAGTAGAATGCGACCTGCCCTGCAAAGTTAATAATCTATCTAGCAATCCTACTTATCTTACTAATATTATAAATGCGAATATTTGGATGTATGGATGGTTTGTTAAAAGCTATCTCCGGAACGGGTACATGGATCTCATTGAAATTTGACATAAGTGTAGAACATAGTTTGGAAGAACGCATAGGCTACTAATTAGGTTGGTTTTTTAGTTTCGCGTGGATAGAGTCGCGGGCGACAGCTAGTTTTAAATAACTGCGATATCCATCCGGTATGTAACAAGGATACGGCACATTTGATTTAATTCCGTTCAATGGATGTCACGCCATGCAACTGCGAACGCACGTTCCCTAACTGCTTCCCGTAGTTATGGATGAATAGCCTGCAACCTTAATAATTTACAATTGTCCCTATCAATTGTAAAGAAGAACTAAAAGACTTATAAAGGAAATCGTCATTTTAGACAGATGCACAATTTACATTTTTAAAGGTTTGAAGGAATTGTGAAAAAATGTTGAACAAATTCTAAAAACAAAGTTTTCATCTATACTTTTATCGTGATTTTCTGCGTTCCTAATATCCGTTTAAATCATATTGTTATCTATTTCTTGTCAAAGAGAATGAAAGGGATGCCGATATGTTTTATACAGTCATATTGGTCTCAGAAGTCCACGATAAGGCGTTCAAAAATATGTCTCTCAAAACGACGAATTCACAAATACTTTTGTTCCAGATGAATGCGTAAAGTTCCTGAAGCGACAAGCTAATGAAATAGGTTTGGATTTCAAAGTTTACGAAGTGGTGACTCAGAAACCTATCGTGGTGCTGACATGGAAGGGGAAGGAGCCTACCTTGCCAGCTATACTGTTAAACTCTCACATGGACGTAGTTCCCGTGTTTGAAGTACGTATGAAGCTTCCGATGTTAGTTTAGCATCATCTTGCTTTTACAGCAAAATTAAGATAAATGAAATGCTAATTTTAGATGCGTACACGTTCTTACGCGGTTTACTTCTATTGTCATTCTCTAGTTTTCCATTGAATATTCCGTTATTTTTGACTTGTTTTACAAAGGTTAATAAAAGGCGGGAAAACCTTAAATAATACTTTTAAATATTTAAGAGAACATCCGCCAGCCAAACAGCCATCCGTATAATATTTTTTTTTTCGAAAAATAATTATGTTTTTGTTTGCAATTGGGCAGAGGTTCACTGTTTTACTGTTCAATTTCAGAACAGTTGGACTTATCCACCTTTCAGCGGACACATCGATGAAGAAGGGAAAATCTTCGCTCGCGGCTCCCAAGACATGAAGTGTGTCGGTATTCAATATCTGGAAGCGATTAGAAAAATAAAACAAGCTGGCTTGCAACTGAAGAGAACTCTACATATTTCTTTTGTGCCAGGTATATTAACTATTTTTTTATTCGTTTGTGATTGCTATCAGGCTACCACAAATGAGCGGGTATTAAAAAAAATAACATTTTAATGCATTTTTATAATTTATAATGATGTCAAAACTGAACGCTGTTCTACAGGACAGATACATGTTGTCTTTTTTATATTTTTATACTATCTGTCGACCGCGACACCGTCCAAATTAAAAAAAAAAGCTAATAAGGAGCCAATGTGTTTTTTCAGACTATGTTCTACATCTATGCCAAATTTCAGCGAGATCCATTCAAACAAACATCCATCCATCCATCCATTTAAACATTCGGATTTATAATATAAGCAAGATTTTAATTTATTTATACCATAAAAATGTTAACATTTACATAACTTTTATAGATGAGGAGATCGGAGGACACGACGGCATGGAAAAATTCGTTTTGACCAATGAATTTAAAGCGTTGAACATAGGTTTTGCCTTGGATGAAGGCATGGCCAATCCCACTGATGAATTCATAATATTCAATGGCGAGAGAAGCATTTGGCGTACGTTATTTGCATAACAATAATTTGATGCATTAGCATAACAGCGTGTGGCTTTAATACGCTCCGGTGCATACAAAGGCTACGCGCCACCAAAATATTGTAGAGCTAATTAATTTTCATATACTCGTATCTCAGCTAATATAAATTCATTGTTTATCTAAAATATATAAGTTTATTTTACATGGAGATTTAAGTTTCAATTTCATAAGTAGACTGGAATATGTAGGTACAGTAAGAACCCTTCGCGGTGTTCCATTTACAAAAAAAAAATCGCCTGTTGCTTTACAAGGAAATAAAACTCGGGGCAGAGTTCTTTCTTACAAAATAAGCACATTAGGCAGCAATGAATTGCGTAAACGACAGCATAATAGTAAAAAGCAATTAGTTGTGTCTCTGCACTACTGCGCTGACCGACCTTTTTTAACGTATGTACCTATAGTAAACATTAGTTAACCTTGTTTGGAATTACAAAATAGAACCTATTTAAAATAAATTTGCAGAAATGCACATTCATTGCACCGGGCAACCTGGACATGGGTCTCTGTTGATACCAAATACAGCTGGTGAAAAGGTATATTTTTATATTAACCTAACCTACGATTTCTACCGAATAAATTACCAGTGTATAACTATTTTAGTAAATTAACTATGTAAAATCAATTATTTCTTTCAGTTACGATACATAATTGACAAATTTATGGATATGAGAGAGGAACAGAAAAAAATATTGGAAAGTGACAATAAACTGACTATTGGTGATGTTACTACCATAAATCTAACTCAAATTTCGGTAAGTGCAAACTAGACACCCACTTCTAGAGTTTTCTTCTACTCTTTTTAATTTGAATAGACGATAGCGGTTTTATCAAAATAATGTTCGACACGAAGTATTTTAGATTCTTTACTATTTCCAACTTTTAAATTGATAGTTAATAAATTGATTACAGACATTAATTTTTTCATAATTATTTTCAGGGCGGCGTTCAGTCTAATGTAGTGCCTGAAAAATTGACGGTTGTGTTTGATGTCCGATTAGCAGTCACTGTTGACCACGAAGAATTCGAGAATAAGGTATTCTTGAAACAATCCCATAGATTTCACGAAATACTTTTTATCACTTATAACTTTCTGTTATACTATTTCACAATATCTAACAAGAATTTCGATCGAATTATAAAATGGCCGCAATACAGTGCCGGTGTTCGGGTAGAGCGCGGTTGGGATGCCACAGATGTGCAAATTAGTATTACATAACCCTGTTAAAACCTCATAAAGGGCAAATGTATTAACGGTTTATATGATCACAAGATTACTGTGGAATGAGATATCAAGTTAGTTTCTGTTTTTAAAATAACTTTCAAATAATACAGGTAACTCAATGGTGCAAAGAAGCAGGTGATGGTGTAACGTTCGAGTTTGAACAGAAAAATCCAAATGTCGAATGTACTAAATTGGATAACTCAAATCCTTATTGGGTCGCTTTCAAAGGAGTCTGCGATGAGTTGTAAGAATTTCCATGTATTAACAAATAAAAAAACCGTTTCTTGTTCATAACTGTAGGGTTGTCACTGTAGAATATTCTTTAAAAAAATTATAGTAATCCATCCAATTCCATTTGAAAAAAAAAACAAACGTCGCAATATGTTTAAAGGCACTATGATTCACTTATTAATTCTTCTTCCACTTCAGGGAACTCAAGTTGGACTGCAGAATATTCCCAGGAGGTACTGACAGCAGGTATGTACGCCGCGAGGGTATTCCTGCTATAGGATTTTCACCAATGAACAACACACCAGTCCTTCTTCACGATCACGACGAGTTTTTACGCGCAGATATATATTTGAGGGGAATCGAGATATATGAGAAATTGATACCCGCAGTTGCTAATGTTTAAACAATGAAATACTATTCACATTATATACACTTGTTATCGCATATTATTTTATTTACAGTATAAATACATAAGTACATTTAAAGTACACAAAAATGTTTTTTTCTAACCTCATTGAATATCCGATTTTTTTTTTTGAAAATGCTGAAATTAATTAACAGTCTGAATGTAAAGTATGGGTTTTCTTAGATTTAAGAAAAAAAATTAAATATAAACCAAAACAGTATTTATGTTTTATTTCATTGTTCTTTTAATACATTTTTGGCTTTGATTAAAGCACGTTATCATAGTTCAGTATTGTCTCTAACTTACCTGAATTAGGGGTAACTAGGCCTTAACCTGTCTTTCCTTGACATCAATGTACAGTTGCGGAAATCAGCGGTGTCCACTTACAGAAAAAATGCGCTCTTCCTTGCAAAGAGACAAACTCGGCCTCTTTTAATAAATAATATAATTATTTTGTTACTCACCAATATGAAATCGTCTTTTTGTGAAATTTTCAGGTTATTCCGAAACAAAATTATGATTTCTTGCCATTCTTCGATAATTTTTACACGGTATGATGATTGATCGATCTGAGAAGTTGCGGTGACTAAAGATAAGTGAGACAAGTGAAAAATAAACAAAAAGGGGTTAAAAATCATATTCTGTATTCTTTATGCGTGCATTGGACAGATTGTTAGAAAATTTTCCGTATTCTTAGATCGCCTGAGGTTTGCACAAAAAGATATAAAAAAAATAGTTCAACACACTGTAAAATTCTTGTCTTGTCCATCTTATCGGTCACCAGGTGGGTATAAGCCAAAGTAAATTATGACAGCTCACTAGCGCCCCTCACTCAGTAACGAAAAAGTCACAAGATCCTCTTTGTATCGTGGCTGTCATGTCATTTGTTTAATTTTATATTATTTTCTATGTCGCAAATAGGTTTTATATATAATCTAACAGACCCAGCCGCGACAGCGGCGCCCCTCTCACCGGTTCAGATATCCTTGTTTGACTATATTTTGCATGCATTAGTATTAGCATGAGTTTTCCTCGAAAAAAATAAAACACTACGATTTGGAAATAAATTTTCTCTTTTCCAGTGCATTTTTTTTATTATTTCATACAATTTACATAAGTTTTAATATTTAATAACAATTAAGTTACATTATAATTGCCACTGGTCACATTCCATTTGTATTTTCAGCCTTATTGAAATATAATTCACATATTTCTCGGGAAAAAGCTCTATGGCTATGGCTCTATTGCGATGACTACTCCTGCCTTCTGCAGTTCTTAATCAATTTCTTACAGACCCGCTTTTAGCAACTTCATTGCTTTGTTTGACATCACAACATCTTCTTCTTTGCCGTTGCAATCTTTTCAGACTGGTGGTGGTATGCTTGTGTAGGGACATCTACAGCCGCTCCGATTTGATCGGTCCAACTAATTGGCGATCTACGCCGTGGTCTGTTGCCCTTCATATTCCCCGTCACATCACAACAACATCTACAAGACCTATTACAAGACAGATCCATTGTTTGTAACATCTTTAAATCCTAAAAACTTTTAGCTATCATAGCTTGCAGAGTTATTTTACAGCGGTACTGTTTCCGTCTCAGGTTGTTCATACATCGAGTTAACAATAGACATAATTTGTTCAGCTTGTTTTATTAACGTAAGTAATCCCGCCGTTCTTGGTAATTGTAACATTTTACATAGAAAACTATATCCGTAAGGGGCTTTTGTTAATATAGATATGGCATCAATTTTTTGTTTTATAGGTGTCGCGGTTTGTTTTCTTTTGAATGTTGGCAGCAATGTTAGTAATTTCTGTGTACTCGGCACATGTTCAATGGTTGCCAATAGTTCTGGGTTCGAAACAATATTTTGCGCGGCTTGTATACTCAATAACTGTTTTGTTATTAAATATTTACATTCAGCTAATTGTTTTCTAACTTGTAGTATGTATTCATATAAGAATTTTTCTCCTCTAGTTACTGGAACTATGTTGTTACCAGTTTCAATTGTTTGAGTACTAACGACATTATTGTTAAACTCTGAAAAAAAAAATCACTATATTTCTTCTTATTGCTATAATATTTACCTATATTTGTAGTCTGGTAAGAGTTTTTTCTGCTGATCAATCATTTAGGTCCTTAATAAGGCAACTTAAGTCTAAAAAAAACTCGGCAATTTCAGTCCCTAAGCGATCTAATTAAGATTGGTAAACATCGCGTGTCGCACACATTTCATACTTTTGTCGCCTACAATATTTGCAGTCTATATGTCAAAATCGTGAGATGAGTTGCTTCGATTTCCAAGATGGCGGAGCAAGCAACAGCTGACATGTCGCTATACTTGTATGGAGCGCGTACAACACGTTTCTAACGACAACTAACTTTCGACTATTTACTTTTAATTGTGTATAAAGGGTTCATACTACTATGTCTCCGGTTTTAAAAAAGATAATTGCATTCTATAGTCCAAACATTCGTGCGCAAATTTTGACATATTTTGTCAAATTCGTGTTAGGGCCCTCTGATTGTAAACTTGTTTGACAATCATGGTTAAAATCACTATAAGACTAAAAACAAAAGGTAGATAAAGTTTAGAAATGTAAGTAACATACCTTGCTCTAACATATCTGGTACTATACACTGAGGGATATCTTCAGTTATTTGCTGTTCCTCTTTATCTTCTAAAATATAATTCGTATTATTTAATGGAATAAATTCAATTTTAAATATTTGCAAAAATTTTATCACAAAACACTCACCACCCCTTGTGTCATTTAAAGACGATTCTTAAGATTTCAAAGATATTAATAAGTAATAATATTATATATTTGTCTTTACTTTTTACTTATATAAAATATAGTATAATGAAATGAATAGAATGAAGATTTTTACCTGTATTTTCTTGATTTGAAAAATCTGTACGGCTTTCGGAATGTTTCACTTTTGATGTCACAACTGGATTTGATATAGGAAAATGTTTCAATAAAATTCGACCCTTCTCATCAACAATAAGTTCGGAACGAGGATTAAGTCCTGGAAAAGAAAAAAAATCAGACGAATGTTGTCCAAATAAAAAGCTAAAAGAAGATTTTTTTTATTTAACCGTCTTAAAAACTACAGACGTCTGAAAAAAAAGTAACGTAATCCTAATACAACTAAATTGCATTATCCATCATCAGATATATTCCAAATCACAAAAAAAAAACTTAGAGCAAAATATTTGTTGTTCGAAGAATTAAGCTACAGGGGGTTCAATAAAACAGACATACAATCTTCCATACATAATTTACAGTACCCTGTTGGAAATCAGGAAAGCGTACCTTGTAACTGGTGTTCAGAAACATTGTTATAATCTTCACCGTTATCTAAAATATCAGGAGGTGGGAAAGGAGAGGCGATTGAAATGATCTGTTGTTAGGCTCATTATAGTATCTACCGCAAAGGAATTAAAACCCTTTTCTACTAAGCAACCAGTAATATATAATTAATTTTTAATATATAAGTTCGACACTTAAGTAGAAATGTTACTTAACATGGAGAAAATGTTGGCATTGAAAAAATTAAGTCACTAATTGGATATTTTAATCATACTGTATACACTAAATATAAACCACGAGCTGTAGCAACTCCGTTCGCTCGGAATAAATAAAAACTTCATTAGTAGCCTATGTGTTCTTCCAAACTATGTTCTATAATACATGTATGCCAAATTTCAGCAAGATCCATTAAGGTATTCTAACAATAAACACCCATCCATCCATACATTAGTAAGATACAAAAACATACCTTTTTGCTTCTGTGAAGATTTTTTAACTCTTTTTTTAATTAATACTTCCTTCTTTGGTTCCTCATCTGAATAAATAAAATTGTTAATAAAAATATATTTTTGGATGTTTGACTAAACATTGATGATTTACAATAATAATATTAAAGATTAATACTTTTTACATATATTTTTTAATTATTTAAAACCTTTTACATGTTAACAATTTTTTTTTTAATTATTGAAAAAAAAAATTATATTGCAAAAAAAGTATGTAACTAGATAAATGTATGAAACAATACCTTTCTCATCTTGTTCCATATTTTTACTATTTACACGTATAAAAGTGCAATCACTAAGCAAGTCGGTACGTCTGAACATAGGAAGCTGAGTAACATCTATAATATTCTTTTTATCAAATATTGTTTCTTCCGACCTTTTTATGGCATCTGTAATATAGTATGAGATTTAAAAAAAAATCACACTGACTGCACTTTGAATTTTTAAAAGGTCTTTCTTGTGTAGATTTATAATTATTCCTTCATGTAGTCTAACCAAAACCCTAAACCATAGACTAACAGCATAATTTTTTATTGACATATTTCTGACACTACCTTAAAATTTTCACAAAATGACTAAAAACGAAAAAATCAATATGGCCGCCATTTGTCGAGTTTGACGTATAGCAATTAGCAATGGAATAATTGTGTATAAAATTAAAACAAAGATTACCTTCTTTAGGTTTTATTAAAAGTTTTGGGATTCTCGTTAAAGGATCCAGAGTTACAACAGCAGTCTTTTCTGCACAAATTTCCGTTTGCATAATTGGATTTCTATCAGCACATGATGTATAACCCAAGGAAGCTTCTGAAAATCCAAACAAATATAAATATGTATAGATTAATGTATACAAACACTTGGCAGAATATTCCCATATGTTACACTGTTACTGGTCATAGGTCAACCAAATTAGAACTTGGACTATTGTAGTTATGTATATTACTAGTTGTCCCCACTCCGTCCTTCGGGATCTAAATAAACTTAATTAGGAACCTATGTGTTCTTTCAGACTATGTTCAACAACTATGCCAAATTTCAGCAAGATCCATGCTGTTCTTGAAATACCTTAAAAAAAACAAACATTCATCCATCCAAACATTCACATTTGTAATATAATAAGAAAGTGTACATAGAAAAATGATTGATATAGAGAAATGTAGATCTCAAATGTCACAAGCAACAAGGCCAAACATTTCATAGTGAATATTAACATTGATTTAAATTAGTTGTTATGATAATATGTAAGATGCAATTACAACTTTTTAAGAGTAACTTTCACAGTTGAGTTACTGCTGAGTAATAATACAAAAAAAAATGAACAAAAAAAGAAGACTTTTACCATTTTCTTCATATGTTGGTGGTTCGTCTACAAAATCTTCATAAATAGGTGAGTCTGGTGATGGAAAATTCCCTGAGGCTATATAAGGTACTATAAGTGATGTATCTATATTTCTTGGTCGCATATCATCATTACATTTCGTAAGGAAAGTAGGTCCTGGAAAGCAATTAATTTCATACTGATACTAATGCTGTAATATTTTTCAATAATAGTCCTAGTTATAGAAAATAGCACTAGTCATAGCTGACCCCCATCACCTTGTGGGATGCAAGCTAGGCAGAGAGAGAGTCCTAGTAATATAAAAATTACGAATTTAACATTTTTGTGCAACACTTACCGGATTGAGTAGGAATTTCTTTATCCTCATTAAAAGCTTCAGTGTTACTATCTTGATACATATGCAAAGGAAAATCGGCCAAAATTTCATCAGAAAGGGGAGGATATTTGAAATTTAATGATGGTATAGCATTTTTTCTCAGCCGACTTTTCTTTCTATTAAAAGATCTAGGAGTAAAGTGTTGCCCGCACAAATATTTTAAACTATGTAATTTTTCAATTGGAACATATGCTAAGTCCTCTTTCCCTACAAGTCGTACCCATTCCCTGCATCTGTGAATTTAAAAAGGTGAATGGAAGGAAAGTTTTTAACAATGAAATACAGTGTCATTGAATATACTATTGAAAGTATATTGACCTACTTAATTTTTTTTTGTTATTCTATGTGAGGACAAATCAAAAATCTTGAATACTGATTAGGTTGACAAACTTTACTGTACCCAGTCTTACTGTGATTTGTGAAGGAAAACAACTTGAACTAGAAAAATATACCCATTTATCATTTTCCCAAGTGGTAATACATTTCCAAGCATTACTTCTTATCATCATTATCAGCTATACCTCCCCACCGAAGGGCTCGGAGCCTACTCTAAGTTAAGCATGATTAGGCCATAGTCAACCACGCTGGCCAAGTGCGGGTTGGTTGACTTCACACATATCTTTGAATTACTTCTCAGATATGTGCAGGTTGCATCACGATGTTTTCCTTCACCGTAAGACCGTCGGATAAATGTACGTATGTAAATCGGAAAATCGAAAAACACATTGGTACATGTCGGGATTCGAACCCAAGCCCTGCAGATTGCACGTCAAGTGCTTGACCACTGAGCCACCGACGGTCAGATCGACTTATTACTTCTAGTAAACTATTACTGTCTCTTTTCGTTTTCATAGGCAACTAGAGGGATTACATGTTTTTGAACTAATGTTTTATTAATGAAAACTTTTGCTTAGCGACTTTTGAGTGTTATATTTTTTAAATATAGAAAGTAAGGTTAACCAGTAATTAATGCTAATATAAAGTAATTGCTTACCGAGCCTCATCCATAGGGAATCTCGTCATAAATTCTCTTTTTGTGCCGGCCTTTTTGAATGCACGACATTTACATATCTCGCATGTAATAAACCGGGTTCTCCGTTTCATTGATGCATTGCTTTGTTCTCGCATTTTGTTTAATTTATAACAAGTAAATTAATATTAATTTTCTTCTAAAAGCATTTAATTCTCAAATAAATATTTTGGTGACAATGAATCTGTCAACGTCAAACTGCCAAAAGAAAGTCATAGTGCCGTATGCGTATCGGAACCATCTATTGAGAATCTGTCTTGTGTTAAGATCAAAACGTCAAACGTAATTTTCGATTGCAAGTTCTATGTAAACAACCATCGAAAATCGATGATTTAAAAAAGATTTTACACGTAAAATGATCAGACCCATCCCTACTAAATTGTCAGTTATAGTTTAACAAAACAATGTCATAGAATTGACAGTTTAATTCATTTTTATATACTCTTTGGTTTAATTTATTGAGTAAAGAAAAAGAAATAGAAACCTAGTTTGTTATTTAGAAGAAAATGTAAGAAAGCAACAAGGAAGTAACAAAAACACATGAAAAGAATGGATAACGTATGTAGAATATGTCTGAAAGGGGGGCTCCTCTCCTCAATTTTTGTGGATAATTACTCAGTGTCTTTACGAGATATGATAGAGTATTGTAGTAATGTTAAGGTAAGTTAAATTAAAATAATCTGGATTTAGTGGAGGGATGCATGCATAGGAAGTAAGTGTATTCTCTTTACGAATGTCTTTGGGTAGTGATCCCTTTGCTATTTCTGCGAATTCAGGTGATTGCTTGCAATCTTATAATAAAATGCTTTACACAACATCTTTTGTTAATTGCAGATATATGATAATGATGGTTTACCAGATCAAATATGCAGCAACTGTGTATACAAGTTAGGAGTAGCCTATCATTTCAAACATTTATGTGAAAGTTCTAATGTTCGTTTAAGGGAACACCATGGACTACAAGCAGTCAGTAGGTAGGTATTTGTAGATTACAAGACTATATATTTAGGAGACTGAAATATTCAATACTTTTTGATAGTTTATTTTATACTTTTACAGAACAACTGATATTGGCATAATGACAGATTCACCAGAGAGTTTTGTATGTATTTTTAAATATTCCCACATAGATAATTTTTATTGAATAGTTTATATGATGTATGTTTTTGCAGGCAAAAAATTCTTCTACATTAAAAAGAATGGGTAACAACATTGTGACTAAATGGTATGTTAATTATAATTAAAATGCTTTCATAATTTTCTCAGATATTATCCCTTAACTCCATCTTGCTTCATTGACACGGAGTTGTTGTATTAAAGTGTCATTTCAAAAACTTGTAAATCTATTAAAATCAAAATAATTTTTTTCATATACAAAATATTAAGTTGTATTTCAGGTCCCAGGATGTTGCCGTTATGACAGATCCATATGTATGTATATAAAAATATATTTATTTAATTATTTAATTTGTTGCATAAAAGAAATTACTTATATTATTGTTTTTAGATACCTCGAACTACATTAATTAAAAAATGGTATGTAAAACATTTAATATTTTTGGTTTTTGGCAAATGGTACATTTGGAATATTTTTTCTTCAAATATTTAACTTTTTAAAAAGTAATTAATTACTGAACAAAATAGATTAAGGTTTAGTTCAGTGGGGATAAGGATATGTTTTTAATGTAATAAGTAAAAAATCAACTATCCTTCATATTAAATAGTTACAATAATTATAAACTTGTTGATAAATGAATTGTATTATTCCATAGCAAATGCAATCTTGGCCAGAAAAAAAGGAGATCAAATTACACTAGGAAACCAGAATCGGAAAAAAAGAAGCGTGGTCCTAAACCAAAACCGAAGCAAAGTCACACTTGTGAAGAATGCCATAAAGAATTCCGATGCAATGCTCAACTGGAAATGCATATGAGGTACCAGAGACAAGTTCGGTATATAAAATATAAATCATCTCCCATCTAATATTAGAGTCTTAAAGTTTAAAGCACTTTCATAGTATGTCTCATAACTATCATTTCGGCGGGACTTTTTTTTCCCAACAAAGTCACAGTTCTTTAATGTACAAATAATATTGTTTATCTTTTTTATACAAAGCTTTTATGTTTAAATTAATTGTTTCCAGGACACACACTGGCGAACAACCATATGTTTGTATGTACTGCCCTCGTGGTTTCTCTCAGAAACATAACCTCACAATACACTTACGAACCCACACCGGTGAGAAGCCTTTTAAGTGCCATGTGTGCAGGTATTTGTCAAATCTGTTTGAATCATATTACCAAAATATATAATTTTCTCCAGAGATAACAATTTTTTGTAAAATTAGAAATTTCAATGATTCAAAACTTATTAAGTTTTCTTTACAGTAAAAAATTCTCTGCTCAAAGTAATCTTCAGACACATCTTAAAATCCACACTGGCCAAAAAGATCATGTAAGTTATTTTTAAATTATAAAATAAGGTAAGATGTGATCTAGGTGGGACATATCAATTTATTTTAGGAAACCAAAAAATGCTTCACCTCAGAATAAGTTAACAATATACTATTTTATGAACTGTCTTGTTAAAAATTATAGTGGTCCCCAATCATTTTCAACAGTCAGTTATTTCACATAATCATATGATTTTAGAATATTTAATTTAAGAATATGTATTTGCAACTTTTTTGCAGGAATGCTCCGTGTGCCATAAATCTTTTATAACATCTAGTGAACTGACTCGACATATGAGTAAACATAAAGGTGTCAAAGACTTCAAATGTGATGAATGCAAGGCTGCTTACATCCACTGCAGAGATCTTGTAAGTGTCCCATATTACAATACCTTGCTGCAGTATTTTATATTGAAATTAATATAAACGGAAAATGATAGAAAAATAATTATAATAATAATTAACACACACAATATCACCAACATGGGAGATACATAAAGACCGTAGTGGCATTGAACGTGTTATTTTTTTAAGCTTGTGCCTCTGTTGATTATAATAATTTTATTACTATAATAATTTTCAGAAACTACACAAAATGAAAAAACATGCCAACACATCACAAAAATCTATGCAGAATGAGGGTTACAATAACAGCAACCACATTGACATAGTAGGTGTTGACGACGGACGGGAAATACATTTGAAGAATGACAAAGATGTCACTCTCTATACTGGTCACACAATTGGTGTGAAAAATGAACCCAACCATAGTTTTTTGGATCTTGAAAAGGAGATATTTCAAACATTCCCTGATTAGTAATAGAAATAATATAAAGTATTTATGCATATTGTAATTCACCAACTGGAATATGTTACAGTACCAATTTCACTAATATAAATACGAATGTATGGATGTTTGTGAGAAAGTAATCTTCGGAACAGCTGCAATGATCACAGTGAAATTTGTCATACATGTAGAAGTACTAAGTTTATTTTTAATTCCAAGCAGACGGAGTCACGGACGATAGCTAGTTGTCACACCAATCTGTCGCAGCAATGGCTACCCTGCACGGTTAGGAACCACTCAGCTATAGCTCCATTACAAGCAATTTGACTGGTTCTATGTTTTGTCTTACATATGAGTTAGATTAGATTTATTATCCATACAAGTAATTTATATTGTTAGGCAGTTAGGCTATGGTAAGCTTTTTATATTATGTATTGAAGAGTATTGTAATAATGATTAAATAAATACTGCTATGCACTTCTTATGTGCCAATTTCACTTTATCCTGTACAGTCTTTGAGTGGAAGTATGTTATACTCTATACTTATGTAAGTTCTTGTGATTCCAAGTCCTATAAGAACTATATATTAAGAATTGTATTATTTGAAACCTAATCATATAGACTTTATTATACAGAGAATAAACAGATTTTAAATGGAATTGACCTTTTCTAGATTACAATCTAGGAAACAATTTGACATCCATCCGAATAAATTAAATAATTTAAAATCCATAGAATATTATCTAGACTTTATTGACTAATAACATGTTTACATTGCCAGTGAACATATAAGTTAAGCATTTGCTGAAACTTCAATTTTATATTTCATATAATCTAACATTTACCTGATTGGAACCCAGGGTTCAAAAACATCCGCTAGTTTTTTTCTCTCTGAAACACAAAACAACAGTGCATTTAAAAAAAACCTTACAAAAGTATTTTGTGACAATGTTGAAATTTATAGTAATCATAGACATAGAGAAACATTGCTTACAAGAACATAACTCCATGACCAGGAACTTAAACTAATAACAGACCAATCATCATCAACCTGCCCCTATCCCTACAGGGGGTCGGCACAGTAACAACTAACAGACCTGTACTACTGGTAAATATTGTCTAAACCTATTAGTAAACATCTATTGAATTTTCATTTAACTTACCTGGAATAGGGAAATCTTCGGGATGTAACTCAACGTAGTGGCGATAGACTGCGTCCTTTTCAGCAAAATATTCATTTCTTTTGTTTTGCACGTAATTTAAAAGCGCACACCAACCGGCCACTCCAAGGATGTGTTTTTGAATGCCTATAAATTTAATAAAACATTTTTTCTGTTATGTAATCATTTTTGATTCCATAATCAATAATTCCTCAGAAATACTCTAGTCTGTTTTTGTTATTATTGTTATGTAATATATTACCGCTAAATATTGGTCGTCTTGTGCCAAAATTCATCATAATTCCCGACCCAATTCCAAAAGGAACTCCAATAACATATGGCCAAATTTGGTTTAAAAAGGGTTTTTTCCTATCTTCATCTCCTAATTTAAGAAGATCTATCGCAGACAAATGTGCAGACATTTTTTACGCACAATATTTTTACCCTTTCAGTAGAGATAAATTGGACTAAAAATAATAAGAAATGCGACACACAGAGTTTATCACAATGACAGATGACGGAAACAGAATTGTCAAATTGTAAACACAGATTAAAAAGTGATAGATGTTACAACAACGGCTTAAATTACTCATAACCAGGCCATAGAATCTTCAAAGAAAAACTATCAAATGTCAATTTCCCCAGGTGTCACTGTCACTTCAGTTTTCTTCACAGTTCGAAATCGAGATTCGAGCGTGGTTTTAGTTGTTGATCTTAAGGTTATTAAAGTATTTTGTCATAATATAATTTGGAAATCAACATTAGTGATAAGTGTAACAATATTAATAAGTGTTCATAACATTTTGGTAGGCAAAATGGTGAGTGCAATGGTCTTAAAAATGAATACGAAGTAAAGGTAACAAAAAACAGATTTATTATTATTTTGATTATTTTATGGTTTCAGGGGAAGCAGCGCAAGACAAGAAAAATAGTAGAGAAAAGATTTGCCAAAATGAAAAAGGTTATTAGTCCGAGTGATCCAAGAATTAAAGCCAAAGATCGTGCCGAACCTAAAAAGAAGAAAGCAATCGATCCCCATGAAATGAAAATCCGCGAAGTACCTCAAACTAGCTCCGCTTTGTTCTTCCAATATAACACACAACTGGGTCCACCTTACCATATACTTATTGATACTAATTTTATTAATTTTTCAATAAAAAACAAATTAGACATTATACAAAATATGATGGATTGTCTGTATGCTAAATGTATTCCATATATAACAGACTGTGTCTTAGGTGAATTGGAGAAATTGGGTAGAAAGTACAGAGTTGCACTAAGGATTATAAAAGACCCACGATTTGAGAGGATAGCCTGCCTTCATAAGGGAACATATGCGGATGATTGCATTGTGCAAAGAGTCACACAGCACAAATGTTACATAGTAGCTACTAATGATAAAGATTTAAAACGAAGAATAAGGAAAATTCCTGGAGTACCAATCATGTATGTTGCAGAACATAAATTTACTATAGAAAGAATGCCAGATGCTTATGGTGCCCCTAAGGGAGCCATTTAGGGTTAAGTTTACTTTAATAAATTTATATGTAAGATTTCATATTTTTATTTCTCGAAATTTATTTATAACTACTTTCATGAAGCTGAATCCTTTTGAGCTTTTGCCTACACTCAAACACTTTAGTAGAAAAAATACAGAGCAAATAAAATCAAAAGTACAATAAGTCACATTTACTATACAATGGAATATTTCTTTTACATAATATTCTTATAATAACACAACACCTAGTATACATGACAATAATCAAATTGTTCTATGCACTTTTATCTTAAACATTTTAATTATTAAATGTCAAATATTTCACTTGATAAAGTACAAGATGGATATTATTGTTCATAAAACAATAGTTATGATTATCACTACACAGTCACCATATGATGCACAATGTAAATGAAATCTGATCGTCTTTACAAGGCCCGATCAAAAGCACGGCAGAGACAATACTAGATGGTGTTGTTATGTGAGCCTGGAGAGCCAACTACATCGATTATTTCACCAAGAGGCTTTGTGTCCGCTTCAGCTGAGGTATTACAAATTGACGGCGGGATTGTCAAAGTCTGAAATAACGAGTTGGATTAAAAAAAATGTTCAACACATTTACTGCGATTTCAATTTTTAACTGTTAGTAGCAAAATGTATTAAAAGAATATCAATATTTACATTAATTTTCTATATGGCTAAAGGTTTATGTAACAAATATGTACATTTGAAGCCTCATGCATAATTTAAAACAAAAGCTGTACTGTTAAAATTAAAAAATCGTACTGTTAAATAAAAGATCTTATTTTACCTTGCCAGGATTAAGAGCCTCATATTGATGTCTTAGTGCTTGCAGTTCAAACTCGTACGAAGTCAAAGCGTTCTTGAGATCCAAAGCCAAAGCGAGGTCTGAGCGCAGCTCATTGAAATGTTTGCATATGGACTCCGTAGGAGTTGGGGCTACGTCTGAAATGGATAATGTGTGTTTAGTATTGTTAAATAGAAAATTAAGGAATTTATCAGATTTACTGCTAGAGGCGATCTTTGGGGGATCTTGTAGTGGGTAATATGTGGCTGACATGATGAATAAACATCCATACTTTTGCATACAATCATCCCAATTTGCGAGTAAGATAATTTCTTATTTTACACACCATCTTTTCGAATATTTCATATAATACTGTTATACCAAAGCATTAAAGGTATAAATACCGATATTCATGAGACGCAACTCCTGTTCGATGGCCTTAGTCTTCCTCTGTCCTACACCAGGAGGCAGTTTCATGCGCTGTGAGCGCAGCCACACGCCAGTGCCGCGCGCCTCTGGGAACTTTATACCGGACCATTCTACTGTCTGAATAATTATAAAAGGAAAAAAATATTTCACATTTAATTTTGTTTTTCAAACTTAGTGTCCTATGGAGATTAAAAAATTCAGCAACTTCGTTTTTTCCACCACCAAACACAAATGACACTTTTTAACAGATATAAAAATTATTATTGTTTCTTTATGTTGAAAGTATTTAGAGCAGACATATTAAAAAAAACTTACTACAGTTTCAATAGCTCGCATTGGTCTTTGTTGTGAAGCCAGTTTCTTCTTATGAAGTTTTCTATCATGTCTCCTAGCAATGCTTGAAGACACAGTGGATGGTGTGTTCATTCCATCATTTGCTATAGCAGTTTGGTTAGCTGCAGCACTATTCCCATCTGCTCTTGATATCAGCTTTTGCAGGTCTTGTGTTTTTCTTTCTCTTTCACGTTTTCTGGCTTCGATTTTCTTAAGTTCAGCCAGTAGCGTTTGTTCTTCTTCTATCTGTGAGAAATAAGCATTTCAAAAGTTTCTTGATGAATTCACAAATGGAATAAATAATTTATTATTTTTTTGGGATAATTTTGAATTACCTGCTCTTTGGTCCTGTCGAACAATCTCCGTAATTGTTCTTTTCTTTTCCTCTCGTGTTCTGCATCATAATGATACACCCGTTTCTCTCCATTAACCATAGTCACTGTGTTTGACCACGGATTCGTTTTTACCTATAAGTTAAAACAAAATCAACATTTTAAGACTTATATGCTTTCTTACAGTACAGAAATCATTTGTACAATTATCATTACTTCTTCCAGGAATCTATTATTTTAATTTTGCTAATTAAATTGGAAGAATAAAAAAATTGGGCCATTCACATGGATAAGCAAATGAAATAATTATATTCTCCATAAACCTTGCTTAAAATGCCACAAATGTTGTAGTATCGCTCCTTCAAGTCTTCCACACTTCTATCCCTAAAGGCAGCGCGATCCCATCTGTCGTGGATGACAATGAAACGGAGATCAAAGCGCTGACATAGATCCATTAAGTGATCCGTCTCTGCCTGACTCCAATCTTCTGATTTCAAGTATTGATTGTATTCAGACTCTGAATATGATGGTATTGAAACTTGCTGAAAGAAAATAGGAGCAACTATCATAATCACAATTAAGACAAAAGATTCTAAAAAATATTTTTGAAAAGCATCATCTAGAAAAAATTCAATAGTAAAAACAACTGTGTTCTTACCTTATTAAATTGTGCAAATGGATATTCCTTACTTTCATCAGTTTTTCTTTTCCAGTGATAAAAGACTGCGTTATCTTTTCGAGCTGGATTGGTAAATGGAGCCCAAACCCATTTCCTTACTTTTCTCATACCAAGCTTTGCTTTTGTTTGTTTATATGCTTTGCCTTAAACAACACATCATAGTTAATAGATTTTGTTCCCGTTAAAGATGGTTGAAATTACTTTATGATACATCCCTACAACTATTACTAGATCGCAAGGCTCATTGACCTGATTTTATAAGTACCCATTCAAATTACATACCAGTACCTAATTACATATTAATCATTGCCTGTAAGGTGCAGACTTACCTGTATCAGTTGGTAAAAGAGGAGGCAAATCTTTGTTATCATTGTATAGTAATGCAAAAACTTCCCGATGCATTCCTTCAGGTCTACGAGCAGCTTTGGCTGTGACATACTTCTTTTTCATTTTATCACCATGTAATATGCTATCTCTGGTGATTTCAGCAGTCCCGGGCTGTTCAATGTCTAATATATCGAGAATATCAGCCATTTTTGTTTATATTATAATAACACTAGCTTGTAAATATTTTAACTTCTTAACAAACTGTTTTTTTATCTTTTAAATTGAGTTTGAAAACTTAGTGCTATCATTTGTAGACAATTCTTAAATTTACGACGGCAAAATTTCTTTATCGAATTTTTCAATTGACAAGACATTGACAATTGCTTAGCTTGGCATTTTGGTAGTGGCAGTTTGACAGAAAAACTGCTGTGCTGTGTTACCAGGGATTAAATAAAATGCTGAAAGAAAAAGTAGGAAGTCCACAGTTTAGGTTTAGTGTACTCATAAAATGGATTACCTCGCCGTATTGTTGAAAACCTGCAGAACTAAGTTCTTGTAAACAACGATTTTACAAAAAAAAATCGATATAAAAGATGGTGATGGTCACAAGATTGTCTCTGTACTGTTTAACTGTTATGACATTTTGGCTTTTTTGTCATTTCCTATGCCTAAGTAGGTTTTATATATATTGGGTCACAGGTTTAGATATTCTTTTTTGGCTATAAGTGAACCAATTAAATTAAAAGTAGCCTATAGTATACCCTCATGCATCAGCTCGTCCAAGTTCCGGAGATTATTCGAAACGGAAATTTGTTTCTCTTATTCCCGTAAAATCTTGAACCAGTGAATTACAATATCATATAAAATACAAACTTACATCATATAAAGTAAAAAAAAATGACCTTTTTTTTACCAAGTAAATTTCTAACTCAGTATATTTTTTACCTGCGAATCTAAACTTGTAAGTTCAATAGAAAAAGAAATATTCTATGTAATATACTGGGGTCGTGGTATTCAATTGAGATGAAACGACGCCGTCTGAGAAAAGTAGCCTTGGAAATTTACTAGTATCTATTACGAGAGGGCTCCCCGATCTGTTCGAGAAGCCATCTTGACCCGGCCATTGTAGATTCTCAAGCCACTGTAACTGACCTAAAATAACATTCTTCAAAGGAAAATTCGAAAAGTGCTTTATGCATTCTTCTTTTAGGTATACATCATTGGATTTGACTATTAAATATTTACCAATAAATGCTATGTATGCAAATATTTTAAAAAGAAAAGTTTTCATTGTTTATATTCCAAATAAAAATCATAAACTGTATTTTTATTCATTGATTTTAATAATATCATTCGTAAAATCTTTTAAAATCATCCAAACGTAGTCATATCACGTAGAACGGCACTAAGAGCTTCGGGGCTGGATCTCGGTGCCTGTAACAAACAAAGAAGTATGCAAACTTTATTATCGACCGATTGTGAACTCGTTAGTTTATAATCTCACTAAGTATACACTGGCACGAAAACAAATTACTTCCAAATAGCAATTACACATTTAAGTATGCGTTAAATTTATTTAATTAATATGTTAAAACATAATACATTATTTGACAAATAAATCTGACTCAACACAATTAGCAGGAAACAATGCAAAGGCGACGATGGCGCTTTCCGTCTGTGCCGTAGGTAAAGACTCAGTTTGGGTAAGTAATAAATATTCCGGTTTCATACTTACGCTGTGACTTCCTGTATTGATCCAGAAGAATCTGAAGTTTCCATGAGCTTTGTAATATCCTTCGAGACGGTCGTTCTCCCAGATGGGACGACGAGGGGAGTTTTTATATTGTTTAGCTCCCGCCCACTTAAGTCTGTCAACCCATAGTATTTGCCCTGCAATATATTTAGATAAAGTTAGCAATTTAAAACTATATTATGTTGGTTTAGGAGTTTCATGACAACTTTAACTATTTTACCTGGAGTGGAGCAGATTAGGTCAGCGTTTCCATTGTATTTCGTAAGTATAATGTCTGTCTCGTTTAGTAGTTTTTCAACTGAAATTGAAATAAAAGAATATAGTATATAGTACAGGATAGAATTTGACTATAGAATGCTGTGAAGTCCAAATATAGACTGTCGTATTTGCTCTGAGCAAACCACTTTATAAAACGCTATGCTCTCTTAGTACTTAGTTTAATTGATAGTATATAGGTACCAACATTATAAATCCAAATGTTTGGATGGATAGATGTTTGTTTGAAAGTATACCGGCTGCATGGATCCCGCTGTAATTTGGCATAGATGTAGAACATACAACATGTAGTCTGGGAGAACACATACATAGGCTGCTTGTGTTTTTTTTTTAATTCCGAGCGGACGGAGTCACGGGTAACAGCCAGTACTTGTACAAAAGTAGAAAATTGTAATAGTTTAATTGTACTTACTGCCGTCAGTGACTGGTTTCATAAAGTCGCCATTTTGTGCATTGAAGACCGCATTTGATGATGCTTGCCAGCGGACCTTTTCGGGAATTCTTAGGGCTTGCTTGACTCTGGTATTCATTAATATATGCGTGTCCCATTCATCGTTTCTGCTAGACCGAAGAGGTGTGTCTCGTATCATCAATTCTCTTGCAACCTCTATAAAATTTAGATTTTATATTTGAAAATAACAAATAAGTATGTCTTGGAACATAACGACAAAAGGCGAAGTAAATTAAATCTTACTAATATTATAAATGCGAATGATAAGTTGGATGGATGAATGCATGGATCTCGCTGAATTTTGGCGTAGATGTAGAACAAAATTTGGAAAAACACAGGCTGCTTATTAAGTTTGTTTTTAATTCGGCGCGGACGGAGTCGCGGGGGCCAGTTAGTACAAAATATCTTATTACGTACCATAAGCACTCTTTCTTGTATCAGGAAGTGTTACATTCCTTGGAGATAGAATATCGTAAAAATCAACACTAGTTGTGGCGGCAAACACTGCACGTTGCGTCTGCGACCACTGGTTCGTGGATTCAACGTACAATCCTTTGTTAAACAGCTCCTCAGCTTTTCTAGCAGCTGCTTGGATACTCTCGTAGCCATCTTGGTCAACAAGACCGGCAGCTAACAGTAAGGGGCCCCAAGTTAATGTAGCATCGACAGGAGATATCCATGCGTTACCCATAGCTATGCCGCGAAGATTTGACTTCAATGTACCCTCTTTTTCTGCCTATAATTTAAATGAATAGCTTTGAAACCAATAAAATCATAAAGTTAGTAACTAACCGTAAAGGTTTATATGTAATCAGGATTCAATGTTAAAACATTACAACAATACAAGCTTAATAGCTTTACAAGATTTTTTTTCCATTTTTAAACAGCTACAACGATCCTTCTTAACCTATGTTCTGTAGTCAACTTATCAATATAATGAGGTGCAGGGGTAGCCAACCTTTGCCTATCAACGTGGCTTGCAATTTTGATTTTGTGACTGTTGGGAACATTCCGTACGGTAGGTTCACTCGAGTTTGCTCCTCGTGAAATACCAACTTTAATCTTTTTTTTTGTAGCTGATATTGAATCCAGTTATCAGTTTCAACCCCGATCTAACGATTTTTTTATTATATTTACCTTATGCATTTCAATACCAATGTCAATAGCCATTTTGCCTCCATATGACTGGCCGTAGATGTAAACAGGAACTCCTTCGAATTCCGGATGAGATTTATAGAATCCTCTCATTAGCTCAACAAAGTCTGTGGCTGTTGAACAGATAATAAACATTTACTATAGGTTTCCACTGGCGAAATACAAAGTCATCTCTGTCATTCTCTTTGGAAACAACAGAGATAGCAATATGTTTCGATATGGAAACTAATTTGAATAAGGAATAAGTAATTGAATTATTTTTGTAAATAATTAGTCCATTTTACCTATTTCTAAATTAGTTTTAGTCAAGTATTTGACATCATCAACATAACTGAATCCTGTGCCCACGGGATTGTCGACGAACATCACATTGAAGTTTTTAACCTTAAAAAAACACAAATATTATAATAATTAAAATGAAGGTTGTGTTTTTGCTGGTACAGAAGTATGTTTTATGTATGTAGATTTGTTTATTATATGTCAATTTTATTTCAACTCTACAGGCATTTATCTGCATTGATAAATTTTAAGAGATTAACAAAACAATCAGTTAAAGCAATCCTTGATCAATCATAGATTAATATCATAGATTAGATTAAAGTACTTTCTCAATATAACCTAAATTAAAAACCGTAAACAGAGCATTATTATTTTTTTGTTTCATTGATTGCAAAATAATATTAATAGAATTTACAAATTAAAAAATTGCGTGAAATGAAACACTCCCATCTACACTGACCTCCTTCCTAGTTTTTGTTCAGACAGATTTAGAAACTGTATGTATGATTTTGTTATTTAGAGCATCGGTCGCTTAGGGGTCAAGCATTTGACTTGCAATCAGCAGGTCCTGGGTTCGAATCCCGCCATGTACCAATGTGTTTTTCGAATTCCGATTTACATATTTATTCAAAGTTCTTACGGTAAAGGAAAACATCGTGATGCATCCTGCATATATCTGAGAAGAAATTCATAGATATGTGTGAAGTCAACCAACCCGCACTTGGCCAGCGACTATGACCTAATCACCCTTAAGTTAGGGTAGGCTCCGAGCCCCTCGGTGGGGACGTATAGTGAGCTGATGATGATGATGTATGATTTAGTCTATAATTTGATTACTACATAAACTTCGTACACCTTAAAAATCTCTGTAAATCTTTCAATTTGGACCATCAAGTGTGCATTGATTATTAGTACAGTGGGTCCTGTTTAATGCTTACCCATGTATAATTCCTGTCTTTCAATGACAGATCTTGTGGTCCAAGTATTTCGAAGTTTCCGATGCCAGTGGAAGAGCCGCCAGGTCCTCCTTGCAGCCATATTATAATAGGGCGTTCCGTATAATGTTTAACTGGAGCCGTTGTGTAGTACAACCAGTAGAACATGTGGGCGCCTTCACGTACGGTAACATAGTCAGAAGCTTGCTTGTACGGTCCGAATTGAGCTGGAAATTAATATTAACTTTGCTCTATATTATCTTAGCTCTCTATTTTATTTGTTTCGAAAATGTTTCATGTAATGCATGCACGCACATGTTTAATATTTTGGCACGAGATGGAGTTAATAGCGAATTGAAACACAATGTTGAGTGATATTGCAAACTCAATTGGTGCTGATTTAATTTCAATCTTTTGGTGCTCCAGTACTCAAGGATGTTACCAAGTTAAAATTAAAAATAAAATGTATTTAAAAGGATTTTGAAAAGAAAAAATTCCTATGGACATGCTTGACGTACCTTTTTTAAGCCA